CAGCAGCAGCAGCAGCAGCTTCTTTAAAATCCTCCTTTACCAGAAGCACCGAAAACATGCTAGTACGCTTGACTTCTTCTGCACATCTGGGGAGGAGTTTTGAAAGCCACCTCAGGACGAGTACAAATCAAAGGCCTGAATAACGCCTGCCTAATGAATTCCAACTCAACCTAGTGAACACGCTCGGGTAGTCAAACCGAGGGTTACGTGGGTTCAACTGCTAAGCGAGCTTACTGCGGCAGCCGTCGCCTTCGCAGAATCGGCAGGGCTTCAACGGCAGTTAACCAAGGTACTTTTCACTACGTATCCTACATGTCAGTGGCCACGACCTCAGCATCCCTGTCGAATATTAGCGTGATCATTACTCTTCAATTTGGGTTGCTGTCACTGGAATTGTTGTTTTTCTGCACCCTCCTCAGATGGATGATTCCTAGGCCCGGGCAATGTTTTAACACAGAATATAGGAGCGGAAGTCATGACGCTTGTTAGTGTGGACAATGGATCTGAGGAACTCCCTGCTCAAGCGGTTGTCATCTCTTGCGAGAATTTCCGGCTCGTCGTACCTGAAGGTCTGGTCGATTCCCGTCGAATGAACCGTGATCCCAAGGGCTAGCGTCATTTATCCTTTCTGTGTCTGCCATTCGCCCCGAAGTAATTTCTCGGTTTCTCCAATGTAGTTTCTTTGAACGCAACTGCATCACCCAGCTGCAATCTAACTCTACTTAATACCAATTCTAAATCTAGTTGATTCGGCAATATTGCGCAAAGTGACCAGTATAACGGAGCCTCCCTCCTATCCTGTCCTGGCAGGGAGGGGGAGGGGGAGGGAGGTATCGCACATGACTAACACCTACCAACCCCTTCCGTTTCTATTGCCTTCGTAGAAAGTACATATGAATTGCTCGTGCATAGAACCTCAATGGGCAGGTTAGCTCTGATAAGCTTGATACAGCAAACGTAGTGGGTACGTACATGTCTTGCATAGGGGACCGGAGCGAGTAGAGATAAACGGCCACAGGCGTTTAAAATTCCATTGCTTTATGCTCTTTTATCGTACACGTCTCCTTAAAAGAGGCTCGAAAGCGTGAATACCAAATCGTAACTATTCAACTGCCAAAATTCCCTGACCGTACTAGTGGAATAACTGAAACGGTGCCTTGCTAACCGGTGACATCCTTTTTTTCGGACAAGTTACTTTACTTCACAGAGTAAAGGGAGCTCGATCTCACTGCTCTGTCATATT